AGCACAGGCTGAGTGATTTAGCATAATTCTTCAGAGCCCTAGGATTGTCAGAATGGTCAAGGACATTGGCTTCAACTTCAAGTCTCCAGCTGCAGTAGCCCCTAACAAGACAGTCAGCCTGTCCTTAAAGGCTTTGAAGCTGGGCACTGACTGCTCCTCTCTAGCTGTGAAAAGTTTGAATAGCATCTTCTTCCAAGAGAAGGCTGTTTGTCTAGACTGAAGCACTGTCGTTCAGTGTAGCCGCCTTCATTAATGATCTTATCAAGATCTTCTGGGTTACTTGGGGCAGCTTCTCCATCAGCACTTGCTGCTTCACCTTGCACTGTGACGTCACGGAGGCGGCTTCTTGCCTTAAACCTCATGAACTAACTTCTGCCAGCTTCAGACTTCTTTTTGGTGACTTCCTGATCTCTCTCAGCCTTCCCAGAATTGAAGAGAGTCAGGGCTTTGCTCGAGATTAGGCTTTGGCTTAAGGGAATGTTGTGGTTGGTTTATCTTCTATCCAGATCATTCAGACTTTCTCCATCTCAGGAATAAGACTTTTTCACGTATCATTCATGTTTTCACTGGGGTAACACTTTCAATTTCCTTCAAGGCCTTTTACTTTGCATTTACAATTTGGCTAACTTGTTAAAGGGGCCTAGTTTTCAGCCTATCTAGGCTTTTGACCTGCCTTCCTCACTAAGGTGAATAATTTCTAGCTTTTGATTTAAAGTGAGAGATTTGTGACTTTTCCTTTCCCTTGAACACTTAGAGGCCATTGTAAGGTAATTAATTGGCCTAATTTTAATAATGTTGTGTCTCAGGGATTGGGAGGCTGGAGGAGAGGGAGCAAGATGGTAAAACTGGTAAACTTCTGGTCTTTGCAGCAATCCAGACACACACATTTATAGACTAAGTTCTCTGTCTTACATGGATATGGCTCCCTAATTCAATTGCAATAGTAACACCAAAGATCATTGATCCAGCAAAAAAACCCCACAAAAAAACAAAAAGATCACTGATCACAGATCATCATAACAAATATAATGTTTGAAAACTGAGAATTACCAAAATGTGATAGAGGTAGGAAGTGAGCGAATGCTGTTGGAAAAGTGGCATTAATAGCCTGGCTCATCGCAAGGTTGCCATAAACTGTTAATTTATAAAAACACTGCCTATGTAGCGCAATACAATGATTTATACTCATATGAATATCTAATTATTGTGTTCTATGCCTTAAACTAATCGAATGTTACATGTCAGTCATACCTCAAATAAATAAATAAATAAAGCTGCAATGAAAAGAAAATGGTGCTGAGTCAGCTAGTTTCAATGTGCAAAGAATAAGATTGGACCCCAACTATATTACCATGTAGAAATATGAAATAAAAAATCAATCATAGACCTAAGTGTAAGAGCTAAAACTATAGAACTCTTAGAACAAAACACAAGTGTAAGTCTGTGTGACTTTGGATTAAACATACGACCCCCAAAGCAGAAGAACCAAAGAAAAAGTAAATAAACTGGACATCATCAAATTTAAAAATTTTGTGTTTTGAAGGAAGCTAACAGTGAAAAGACAATGGAGTAAGAGAAAATATTTACAAATCATATGTCTGATTTGGGACTTGTGTCTAGAGTATATAAAGAACTAAAATTCAACAATAAAAGACAACTAACCCATTTTAAAAATGGACAAAATATTTAAATAGAGATTTTTCCAAAGAAAATACAGATATGACCAATAAGTGCATTGTGTTAATTTGCTAAGGCTGTTTAACAAAATACTACAGATTGAATGGCTTAACCAACAGAAATCAATTTTCTTACTGCTGGGGTAAGGGAATGTTATATCCTCACATGGCCTTTTCTCTGTGCATGCTGAGAGGAAGAGAGACCTTTCTTTCTCTTCATAAGAGGAACAGACCCTCTTATGAAGTCCTGGTGGATTAGTGCCCCACCTTTAAGATGACCTTATTTAATCTTAATATTTCCTTAAAGGCCCTTTCCAAATATAGTCACAGTATGGGTTAGGAGTTAACACCCATGAAGAAGATGCTCCATGTTATTAGTTACTAGGGAAATGTAATTTAAAATCACAGTGAGATACCACTTCATATACTAGAATGACTAAAATAAAAAAAGTATATGAATAAAGTGTTGGTGAGGGTGTAGAGAAATTAGAAAGAAATCCTCATACATTGATGGTAGGAATGTGAAGTGGTCTTGATGCTTTGGAAAACAGTTTGGTAGGTCCTCAAAATGTTAAACATATGACCCAGCTGGTCCTCTCTTAGGTTTATAGTCAAGAGAATTGAAAACATGTGTCCACACAAAAACCTATACATGAATTTTTGTATAAGTGTTATTCATAACACCCCAAATATGGAAACAACCCACATATCAATCACCTGATCAATGGATAAAAAATATATGCTGCATACATATAATGGAATATTATTCAGCCATAAAAAGGAATGGCATACTGACATATGCTACAATATAGATAAATCTTAAAATACTGTGCTCAGTGAAAGAAGCCAGTCACAAAAGGTCACGTATTATGTGATTTATGTAAAATATCCAGAATAAGCAAATATGTAGAAACAAAGTATATTACTGGTTGTTAAGGGCTGGAGTGAGGGGTAACTGTGGATGGACAACTAATCATTTGGGAGTATCTTTTGTGGTGATGAAAATGATGAAAATTAGATAGTACTTGGATGTATAAGGCTGCGAATATACTAAAACCACCAATTTCACTTTAAATGAGTGAATTGTATATGAATTATATCTTGAAGCTGTTAATAAAAAGAGAAGGAAATCTTAAATTTACACAATTTAAGTTCAGATTAGCATGTAAACATTTAGTGTTACTTTTTACTAACATTTTGTTACCTTGTCTGTTGTTTGGAAATGTTAAAATAAATTGGGATTATTACTTGCCAAATTCTTTCTTGGTCAAAATTCTTTCTCGGGCAGTATTGTCAACAGTAATATGACATTTGAATTCTAGAAAATAATCTTTTTTGTTGCTCTTTTTTTCAACAAAAATGTAATAAGTACTTAACCTGTATTAGCCCTATGATCAGTGCTAGGAGTACAAAGACAAGATATGGTCCTCTGCTTTGAAGGGGTTTCCCTTTTAGTTTGGATAGACAAAACCAGAAAGAACTGTGTTAAAATGGTGTAAGTAATTATGATGATGAGTATTCACGGTATTCTGAAGCATGGTGATTTTTATGAGGCAAATCAGAAGAAACTTCAGAGAGAAAATTACCCGTGGAGTGAGTTTAAAAGATGGACTGAGTTTTCATCAGGGAGGGCAACACTGGAAGCAGAGGGAACAACTTGAGGGAGTGCTGTCATGCTCTGGTGCTATCATAGATCTCATCAATTTTGGAGTATTGGGAGCAAAGTAAAAAGCACCATGATTGTAAGGCTAGAAGAAAATGTATGCGTATCTGATTTTTTTTCTTAACTGGTCAGAGGCACTTCTTTATCTTTGTGATTGCTTTAGAAAGTAAAGTTTGCTTACATGGTTACGTGAACTTAGTAACAAGTTTTTGTATGTATGATCTCTTAGAGTCTTTTATATGCTGATGACCATTTGAATTAAGGGGAGGAGGGAATAGTATGTCATATTGTAAAAACTTGTTTGGGGAACCTTTTTTCTGTGGAGTGACATATAGGACTGGGGGGAAATGTGTTATATATTGTGGTACATCTATTTGATAAAATATTAAGTAGTCAATAAAATGGTGGTTATGAACATGGTAGCAACATAGACAAATGCTTACGTATAGCAAAGAAGAAATCAGAATCCACATTTGTTTTGAGGCGGTGATTATAATTTTGTGTGACAAGTTGAAAGTAATTACTGTTTTTATCCATGAGCTTATTAATGGTATAGAGAAATGCTGCACTATCTAGGGAAATTTGGCTCTATCAGAATCATAAGCAAATATATTCTATGATTAGGTAGCTTTTTAAGAATCACTAGTGAAATACTGACCTCGTGTACTAAGATGTTCATGGAGAGATGTTCTTTATAGTATTATTTGTCATAGTGAAAATTTGAAAATACTTTTAATGACAGTAGGAAAATGGCTAACTGCGTTAGTGTATAATCTTGCAGTGGGCTGCTACTGTGGCCAGTGAATTGAAATAAGTAACGCTGTATCTGTCACACTGAAAAAGAGATATATATAAAATCTCCTATTTATGAAAAAGGAAGCAACTCTGTCTCCATTATAAATATTAGCGCATTAAAATAGTAGCGCACTCACAGACCTGTACCCTTGGGGATAAAAATACATTATATGTTTATAAAAAAATTAAAAATTTTAATAAAAAATAAAATAATAGCACACTCAAGGATGTCCATTTTTGTCCTAATTTCATTAGATTTTTTTTTTTAAAGATTTTATTTATTTATTTGACAGAGATCACAAGTAGGCAGAGAGGCAGGCAGAGAGAGAGAGGAGGAAGCAGGCTCCCTGCAGAGCAGAGAGCCCGATGTGGGGCTCGATCCCAGGACCCTGGGATCATGACCTGAGCTGAAAGCAGAGGCTTTAACCGACTGAGCCACCCAGGCGCCCCTAGATTTTGTTTTTAATTGGAGCATAATTGACACCAGAATGAGTATTAACAGTGGTTAGTAGTGGGATAGGAAATGGTGATCCAGGTGTGTTTGTGTGAAATAGAAATTTCACTTTATATGTTTCTGAAATGTTTTAATATTTAACAATAAGTATGTATTTTATAACAATTTTTGAAACATGCAAGAGAAAGCTAGTGAGAAGTATATCATATTAGGGTGGTGATTACAGATAAGTCTTTTCTTAAATTCCCATGATACAGTTATAAAAAGAAATACGTATTATGCAAGATGTCATTGCAAAGGATTGCTTTACTCTGTTGATGTGTCACAAAATTTTCCCCTTCAGTGTTTAACTAAGAATATTGTATTAAAATTAAGTAAACTTACCCATTTCGAGTTTTTTCTTGATTTTTAGGTGGACCTTCAATCCTGCTGTTCTCACAAAAGCAAACATTGTCCGAAGTGGGGATGCGGCTCAGGGTGCAGAAGGAGGCACCTCACAGTTTCAAGTGGGTGATCTTGTACAAGTTTGTTACGATCTGGAAAGAATCAAACTTCTACAGAGAGGACATGGAGAATGGGCTGAAGCTATGCTCCCAGTAAGTATATCTAAAATAGTTTCAGACTAGGAATGATAAAATAGTTTTAGACTAGGAGTTATATTATGCTAATGTAGTTTAAAAAAATACTTTAATTTTGGAAAATAAATTAGCATAATCCTTTGAGAATTGTATTCTTCATTGGCCGCTAGGCATACTTTAATGCCTTTTACTTTCTAATTTGTTCCAGTTAAATTAGCCCAGGAAGGTCCAAATATGGCAGCAGTTAATATTTTTTGAAAGAGTTGTTAGTAGAGAATGTCATATAGGTAGAAGGCAACAGAGACTTTCCTGATTCTTAACCCCAGAGTGAGAGAGATGTGCTAATCCAGTTACCAGCAGTGCTGGACCCTTGCTGCTTTTCTCACTTGGGGGCCTGGCCCTCTAAAACATAGAGTGTGAAAGAACAACTCTGAATGTGTGCCTTCTGTGGTGGCCTTGCTCCCAAAGAGTTACGGTTTAATTTTTAATTTATTCATTCAGTACATTTTTCACCAAATGTTCAGCAACAACAGAAAAGTTTGTTCTACCCTCCTGGCATCCATCTTCTTTCTCCATTTGTGTCTTGCTCTTTCCTTCTGTCCCATCCTTCTGTACTACCCATTCTGTCCTGCCTTCCTCCACATATTGTCCTGCTGCACCCCCCCCCCCATACTTCCTTGCTCTGTACTCCCATTTCCTTCCTCTTCCCTTCTTTCCTTGCTATGTCCTCCTATCATCCAGTCACCTAACTGGTCCTCTCCTGTCCCCCTAGGTACCATCCCATTCAGTGCCTCCTTCCTCTACCAAGTACCTTCCCTCCCATCCCTCTTCATGTCTCATCTCTGCACCCTAATGTGTTGTCTAGTGCCTGTCCTGGCTAGCACCTCCTTTTCCTGTCTAGCCCCATTGCCTATCTCATTTAGTCCTCTGCTCCCTCCCATCATGTCCAGGCCCCCCTCCCGTCCTTCATGTTGTGTTGTCCTTCCATCAGTCCATCCTTCCTTCCTCTTTAATCCTTCAGCAGATACTTTAGCATAATGTGCCTGTCAGACTTCAGGGATATAACAGTGAACGAAAGAAAAGAAATTAATTGTTATGGTGCTTTCATTCAAAGACATTTCATAGTTTGCAGATGCTGCTCGTGTTTTTTATTGCTTTAGTTAGATAGTGACTAAGTGATAGTTGTGTATGTTCTGTAGGAGCTGTATTTTAGAACTTTATTTTTGTCCAAAAAATTAAGTAGTATATGATCTGTTTGTTTGCTTTTGATATTGAAGTTGGTTTAAAAAATATATCGATTGTCTTTAAGCCTCACTATAGTGTGGTGTTACATAAATGTAATTTTTTGACATGCTTTTATAGGAGTCATGTATACTATTTTAAGATTTTTTAGATTTAAGATTTAAGATCTAGATTTTTTTAGATTTAGATTTAAGATGTAAGATTTAGGTTTTTTTTTAATATTTTATTTTTTTATTTTTTAATAAACATATAATGTATTATTAGCCCCAGGGGTTAGTCAAGATGTTTTTGTTTTTCCCCTTAGCAATGACACCTTATATGTAACAGCTTATGTCTTTGAAGTGCCCAATTTTTCTAAGCACTGTGCTAAATGATGAATATATACATACATGTGCACAAACATATGTGTATACACACATAGATACATACACAGACTTTATTTGTCCTGGGAATATTATAAGCAGGTGGTGGTATGGCATCCTTATTTTAAATATGAGGAAGTCAGAGCTAGGATTCTGAACTGGAGTTTGAACCCAAACCTGTTCTACTTCAAAGCCCAAGTAATCTGTCTCCCATAGTAAGCTGCTGTATAAGAAAAACCTGTAGATTATATCTGTAGGGGAATTCTGGGATTCCAGTGGTTTTGGTGTAGAATTTTAATCTTCCCAAATCATCTTGATAAAAATAGTCAACAACTGGATTAGCATAACCGAAAAAAACCAAAGCTGCAAACATCTGTATAAAAACCAGGTTACAGGGGCACCTGGGTGGCTCAGTGGGTTAAGCCTCTGCCTTCGGCTTGGGTCATGATCCCAGGGTCCTGGGATCGAGCCCCGCATCGGGCTCTCTGCTCAGCAGGGAGCTTGCTTCCTTTCCTCTCTCTCTCTGCCTGCCTCTCTGCCTGCTTGTGATCTCTCTCTGTCAAATAAATAAATAAAAATCTTAAAAAAAAAAAAAAACCAACCAGGTTACAGAGCAGCCTGTTGAACTCTAAAATACGAGCTAGTAGTGAGAAAATACTGACCGCTACTAGATCTACATCTGTCTGTCTAGCAGCAGAGAGAATTAATTGGCATCAGATGGACCTGAGAACAGAGGGACTCTAACATAGCTAACAAGTATTCATTGGCTAGTCTAGATTAATGTAGAAGCAACAGCCCTGGGAGGACTCTTTCAGACTCCATTTTGGGGTGAGGGTAATAGGTCCATGCTAAAGGTTGAAGGAATTGGAAATGCCTGGGTCTGTAAACTCTCAAAATTAACTAGCCATAGCTCCCTTCCTCTACAGAGCCTTCCCATTAAGGAAGAACTGCAGGAATAGAGACCAAATTTATTAGGATAGAGACGGTAGGTGCAGATGAAAGATAAAAGTTGGAAGGGATCACAATTGGAACCCTATACATAGTTATTGAAAAATGACAAGGAATAGCATAACTTATTTATAGACAAATGAAAATACATTAGAAAGAAATGCACATAAAACTAAAACCTAATGATTCAAAATGAGCCAACAAATTAAAATGATAAAAGATGAAAGAACAAAATAGATCATAATAAGAAATGAGATAACAGAACTTAGGAAAGAATTAAGAAAAGGAAGATAATTTTATGAAAGAGAAGAGTAAGCTTGATGCAACACAGATCAAATATATATGACAGATATGCCTTAAGAGAAACAGAAGGTAAAAAGAAGAAAAAATGCTAAAATCAAAAAGATAAAAAGTATTTCAGGGAAGTGACAAATATATCTAATAGATGTGTATTTGGAGTCCTTGCAAAAAAGGAAAAACAAAAACCAAAGCAATGGAATATAACAACTGCTAAAATTTATAATTTCAGAAAAAAAAAAGTCCCCAAGTTAAAAGATTTAAAACTAAATATTAAAAGGACACATTGCATACTGGGGAAACTGAGAACACAAAACACTGAGCCATATTCTGGTAAAATAACTGAATCTTCAAGAAAAGAAAAAAAAGTCTTTGGGTATCTAGGAAAAAAAAGTCAAGTTTTACTTAAAAGAGAAAGAAAAATCTGATCTCAGTGCTTTATGATTTCAATGAAATAACATTTAGGGTACTCAAGGAACAAAAATGTAAGCTAAGAGTTTATAACCAAACTGACTTTCAAGTATAAAGGCTATAAATTGCTATGAATATATAAGAATTCAGAGAGTTTTATTCCCATTAGCCTTTTCTGATCAGTCTGTTAGAAGATGTCTCAGACAGCCAAGATTACTGGAGAGAGACCAATTTAAGGGCTCATGGTGGACATTAAATATGTATTTATTTGTTGAACTAAGAGTAAATGATAGTTAAGGAAGGGTTAGAGTCTATATAATGGTTATAAGCTCTATCATCACAGATACAGTACAACTCTCAAAAAATATGTTAGGATTGGAGGGAGAATATGGAAAGTTTAGTAAACTGTTTGCTTGCCTCTGGTTATTAACTGGAACTAAATACTGTTATTTTAAATCAAAATATTGTGGGAGAAAGAAGGTAAGGCTAAGAACATGAGTGATTCAGTGTTGTACATACGGGAAGCAGTTGACTCACATACTCTGGCTCCTTTTTTTTAAAGAGGAAATTAGGTTTTGTATATATACATTATGTCTTAGTATTATTGTAAATATAACTATTAGGATAATTCAGAGTTTATATGAAGAAAAGCATACAATGGAGGAATTAACCATTACACTCAAAAAACATGTTTCCATCTAAAGAAGGAATGTGGTATGGGGGACAAAGGTAGAAGGGAAAGGTCTTTGAATATGTCTTGTTTTATAGATTTGATTTGAAACCTGATACATATTTTATACAATTATAAAGCAAAATCAAATTCCTAAAAGTGGAAAATGAAGTAAACAAACCTAAATGTGTATCTTGTTGGTATAACCATACAGAGTGAAAAGTACAAGTGATTTTTAAGTGTAGTAATTTTGTCTTTGTATCTTTTTAGGAAGAATATACCCTAAAGAACTGCATGGAAAAAAACAATTTTTTTAACAATTTTCAACAGTTTTCAGAGATCTTGTTGTTTGTGATAGTGTTAATATTATTATCCTGAGATTGTTGTATACGTGATAGGACAAAAAACCAAATGAGTAATTATATGGTGATTCTAATTCTGTTATCCCAAGTGGCCTTGAGAACCAGAATGATCAGGGTGGGGAAACAAGATATGGATGTAACGGAAAAGACGCTGAGTGAAAACCTTGTACTCTTGAATTTGCATTGGAAGAGGGTTTATATATTTGTGATTTATTTTATCTTCAAGATAAAACACCCTCCTACCACTGTTTCCTAGCTGTGTCCGTGAAAAGACTTAGAAACGATAACCATTCTAGTAACAATAACCAAACTTAGTGCCCAGATTACAGTCTTGAGGAGTAGCCTTTCTCTCTGTAAAGAATCAGTCTTGGGAGAAATGGCTAATTCTAGTTCTTTGTCAGGAAGTGAACAAGATGAGCCTTATAGCAGATGGTAAGGAAGCTATCAGAAATTTCTAGGTCATTTTAAAAGGACCAGTAGCCAACTTGGAGTGTTTCTTTTCAAATACAGAGACCTATGAACTATTTAAATTATACCAATTAGCAAAATCCAGATTGTAAGGAACTTCATAGGACAGATAACCCTGTTTCTTCAACAAATAATTGGCAGAGAAAAATATGTGTATATATTTTATTTGGAACTTGATTTAAGCAGACTGAAAAATTTTATCATTTATGAGGCAATTGGAAATTTGAACACTGGTATTTTATGATATTACAGAGTTAATTGATAATTTGGGGAGGGTTGTTAGTAGTATTTTTTTTTTCCCCAAAGTTTACATGATTAATAATACAGGAGGAAGTAGAATAGGTAGGGGAAGACAAGATTGACCATGAGCTGAAAATTGTTAAAAATAGTTGATGGGTACATGGGGATTCAAAATACTGTTACCTACTTTTGTATGTTTGAGACTTACTATAATTAAATAGTTAAGGGGGAAAAAACAAAGAATGCAGCCTCATAGAGTTTGAGATGATGGAAAATTCCAAGAGAAAATATCTAGTTAGAGGTTAAAATTGATGTGTGTTAGAGAGCAGGGGGAGGAATAAATAGGGCTAGAGAAGTATATTTTGGAGTTTTTAGTAAAAAGGTGATAGTTGTCAAAGTGGATTAAACTTTTAAGGAAGAAGAGTAAAAAAGGAATAAAATTTGGGGGACAACAAATAGATTTAGGGATCTGTAAAAGGACAAGGAGCTAGTGAGTGGAGAAAGAGAAGGAACAGGTAGAAAGGTTAGACTGCCATCCAGAAATTAAGGGAATAGTTTTGAAGTAGTTGGAGTCACATGCTGTGGAAAGGACAAAGGATAACATATTGAAGGACAGTCTACTCTGTTAGGAAGTAGTCAGATATTATCACTTTCTTCACCAATTTTCTAGTATTGTAATTTGCTATTCTGTGTGCTTAAGAGAAGGTGTTTTGGACTGGAGTTTGAAATGGGGCTTATAAGAGCGCTTTGCTTTCAGGGTATATGTATTAGGTGAGTTAATTTGTATAAAGTTATTAGAACAGTATCTGCCCCATGGTTAAGAGTTGTTGCTAATTGTGTTCTGAACCCAGTTGCCTTTTTTTTCATTCACATATATATGTGTGTATATACATATATACATATATATATAAATTAAAGATTTATTTGAGAGAGTGTGCATGGGAAGGAGAGACAGAGGGAGGGAGAGAGAGAATCTCAAGCAGACTCCCTACTGAGCACGGAGCCCCAGGCTCCATCCCACAACTCTGAAATCATGACCTGTGTCGAAATCGAGTTGGATGCTTAACCAACTGAGCCACCCAGGTGTCCCCCTTTTCCATATACTTAATAAGTGTTGTTTCTACATACTTCTGTCTTGGAATGGATACTGAGTCCCTTTTTGGTTAAGTATAGTTTATTTTAGAAATCAAGGTTTTATTTTTTTAGTCTAGATTGGTGGTGAATTTTGGACTTTTTTTTTTTTTTGGACTTTTTGATTTATAAATTCTCAAGATGTAAGATAAGATTATGGTGTTAAAAGGTTGGATATTAATCCTGATATGAGGAAGTTGAGAGGCAATGTGGGGGGCTTGGGGGGTAGGAAAAGAATAAATGAAACAAGATGGGATCAGGAGGGAGACAAACCATGAGACTCTTAATCTCACATAACAAACTGAGAGTTGCCGGGGGTGGGGCGGGTAGGGAGAGGGTGGTGGGGTTATGGACATTGGGGAACGTATGTGCTATGGTGAGTGCTGTGAAGTGTGTAAACCTGGCGATTCACAGACCTGTACTCCTGGGGCTAATAATACATTATTAATAAAAAAGATAAATTATTTTTTAAAAAGGTTGGATATCAAAAAGCAAAATTTTTTGAATTCTTATGAAAGACTGTCATGATTTATTTTTGATTTTATATTCTTGTGGAAGTATTATAGTTTTGTTTATTAAAATGCTTTTTATTTATTTTTGGGTTTTTGGTGGACAGCAAAGCAAAGTTTATTTAGTGATAGTACTGAGTTTATTGAGCGATAGAACAAAGTTTATTGAGTGATAGTACAAAGCTCCTGAAGATGGAGGGGACCTGAGATAGTTGCCCTATTAAAATGTTTTTTAAAGATACTCTTTCAAGTTTGTAGCTAACAAATAACCCACTTGAATATGTTGTCCTTTAACAGTTTTTTTCATTAGGAACAAAAGAAAATTAATACTTTAAACATGTAAGAGCTAACGATTGAGTTTTTTTTTTCCTATGGTATGTACTTTAGACTTGAGAACATGAACTAATTTTTTTTTTTTGAAAGACTTTAGGTAAAGTTGGCCGAGTACAACAGATTTATTCTGACAGTGATTTAAAGGTGGAAGTTTGCGGAACATCTTGGACGTATAATCCAGCAGCAGTTTCCAAGGTGGCATCTGCAGGATCAGCCATTAGCAACGCATCTGGTGGTATGTTTGTATTGTTGTGTCTTTAAAAGTAATATGGTTTACATTAGAATCTTTGCTTAATTTCTCTGTTCTCTTGTACAGCTTATGTTGTATGTGTTCTTAATTTTCTCCCAGATCACATGACCTCACTTGAATGTTGACAGTTCTACACTTTTCTAAAGGTTTTTGTTTTTTGTTTTTATATGATGAACGGTTTTTTTTATTTTTAAGGATTTTATTTATTTGACAAACAGATCACAAGTAGACAGGCAGGCAGAGAGAGGGGGAAGCAGGCTTCCTGCTGAGCAGAGAACCTGATGCGGGGCTTGATCCCAGGACCCTGAGATCATGACCTGAACCGAAGGCAGAGGCTTAACCCATTGAGCCACCCAGGTGCCCCGATGAACGGTTTTTGTTCTGACTGAGGTATACCCTGGAAAATTTTCGTAAATAAGTGCTTTTTCTTGGGCATAATATTGAAGGTGTTTCCACATCAAATCTGAGATAACTGAAATTCATCCATTGTACTCTTTAGTCAGAACTTTTGTTTTCTGACAAGAAATATAGACTATTTTATTCTCTTTTTATTTTCAACATTATTGTTAGCAGATGGCTTTCTTCCTGGATATTTTTACATATCAGCCATGGTTTTTTCCTTACTATTTATTTTATTTTTATTTTTGTCTTTTTAAAAGATTTTATTTATTTATTTGTCAGAGAGAGAGAGAACAATAGGGAGAGTGGCAGGCAGAGGGAGAAACAGGCTTCCTGCGGAGCAAGGAGCCAGATACAGGACTTGATCCCAGGACCCTAAGATCATGACCTGAGCTGAAGGCAGATGCTTAACTATCTGAGACACCCGGGTGTCCTCTCACTATATATATATTTTTTAAAGATTTTATTTATTTATTTGACAGACAGAGATCACAAGTAGGCAGAGAGGCAGGCAAAGAGAGAGAGGAAGGGAAGCAGGCTCCCTGCCGAGCAGAGAGCCTGATGCGGGGCTCGATCCCAGGACCTTGAGACCATGACCTGAGCCGAAGGCATAGGCTTAACCCACTGAGCCACTCAGGCGCCCCTGTCCTCTCACTATTTAATAAGAGTTGTTATACATATAAGAATGTATAATAATAAGTAGGAAATCATCTTGAAATGTGAATAAGTAGAAAATAAGTAGGAAATCGTTTGAAATATGAATAAGCTGGATGTTTGGGTAGATTCATGCCAAAGTCTTTCTTTCCTGTGCTCTAGCCTTACATACACATAGCCTCAATTCATTCTAGAACAAATTGCAAGGTACTATGTATTATCATTCAGAAAAGAAGGTAGAACCATAATTAAATTTTAAGAAAGTAAAGGAAAACATTAGGTGACCTCCACTTTTATTTTATACTGCTTTCTACTTCTGCTGCTCTTTCTTCTTTCCTGATGTAATTTGCTCGTGTGCTTAAAATTTAAATCAGGTAGTGTTTATTTTTTTACCTTGTAGTTAGATGGTTTCACAGCACAGTGACTACCTATAAATACAAAGAATGAGAAATAGTTAATATCCTACTCAAATAATTTGGACTTGGTGTTGATCCTCTGCCTCACTTTGTGATTTCTTTGCTTTCCACTAAGTAGATTCAAGAATTAAGGAATAGAACTTAATAGTTTCTTTACTGATGAATGCTACTTAGAAAAAAAATATATATTATGAAAGAGTCTGTGTAAATACACCCCTAGTTCTTTTTTGTTTTAGTCAGTACCAATCATGTGGCATCTGTTGAAATATGTTAACACTTAGATGACCATTTTCAACGGAAATTGGTTTGTCCCTAAAACATTTCCCCAAATATTATAGAGATTACATTGCTTTTGAATCATAATCATTGATTTGCTGATTTATTCTAAGGTGTGTAGCAGGGAGCTCTGAGGTGTGGTATGCTTAAAACCTGAAAGGAAGTTTGTATTGTTAGGATACTTCCATTGTAGTGTGTTCATTTGTGATTATCTTTGGTATGACTTCTAAATCTTAATATTGTTTATATGTAAACTCTCTTTTTCTGAAATTGTAACTTGAAATACATGAAGAAAACTGGGAATACTTATAAGTTGGAATTTAATGCAGTTTTATTGGTAGTAATTATAACTTGCCTGGGTAATATCTGTAGTATAGTATGAAAATAATATTAATGATAGAAATAATTAAAAAAAAAGTATGTATTACAGTTATGTGGGTAATACTTGTCTGTTAGTAGTTAAGGTTCGAGATCCTCCTGTGTTAGCAGCTTTATTTGATGCTTTACAGAAAGACTCTCCCAACTCTTGAAGAAATTATTTGAAACCCAAGAATCTGGTGACCTCAATGAAGAATTAGTTAAGGCTGCTGCCAATGGAGATGTTGCTAAGGTGGAAGATTTGCTAAAAAGACCAGATGTGGATGTGAGCATTTAAAAATTATTTGAAGCATGTACAAAAATAGAACAGCATAATGAACATAACAGTTCAATAATTATTGAGATTTTTCTACATGTGGTTCAACTATTCCTTCTTCTTTGTTTTTGTGAGGTATTTTAGAGAAGACGCTGGAAATCATCAGTGTACTCTTCTAAAATATATTGACATTTTTATTTTAACACTGTGACCTTTAAAATTTATGGCTGACAAAATTTGCATTTAGTTTTTCAAGTGGTCATTGTCCTCCATTTCTCATGGAAATGTCATCTTATGTCTTTTAAATATACTTTCGTAAATTTTATAAGCAGTTTTCTATCCCTCTTCTCAAAACATTTAATCTAAACCTTTTCCTGTGAAAATTGACTATTTTATAGTTTATCATACAGACGAATTAGAGGTTATGCTTTTTTTTTTTTTTTTTAAGATTTTGTTTATTTATTTATTTCACAGAGAGACAGCAAGAGAGGGAACACAAGCTGGGGCGTAGTGGGAGAGGGAGAAGCAGGCCCCTCACTGAGCAGGGAGCCCAGTGCGGGGCTCGATCCTAGGACCCTGGGATTATGACCTGAGCCAAAGGCAGACGCTTAACTGACTGAGCCACCCAGGTGCCCCAGAGGTCATGCATTTTGTAAATCTTAATAGTTTATAGTATTTTACCATTCACGTAAGCCGTATTTTAGGTGGGCCATTTTGGTTCTAGGTAGGCATTCATTGGCTTTATTATTGCTACCATGCTGGCATCAGCATGGTGTTCAGTGCTGGCCTAGAGATCATAGTTGGAGTAGCACATCATATTCCTACGAGCTCGTGTGGCGTTTCAGTTACAAGGGAGAGGTCAATTGCAGCAGCACAGCACAGTGGTTTCTTGATTGTGAGATATATTACAAATACTTTATTTTGGTTGTCAAAGTACCAAATGACTTTTTTATATTCAACCAAGCAGATTTAAATTCTATTTATTTTTTTTCTTCATTTAATTACTAAATAAGTTTTTTTAAACAATATACATTCTAAACATTTACAAGACCAGTGCTGTAACCCCTGAGCTATGGAGCCTTCCCATTCTAAACATTTAAAGGGAGAAAATAATTCTACAAGGTTTGTTAGGAAAAACATTTCCTTCTCAATTCTAGTTACCCATTCTTCAGAGACAACTATTTTCACCTTGTTGATTTTCCTCATATATTTACCTCTACATCTTCTAATAACATACTTCTATTGTTTTTTCTTGATTTTTATGTTTTAGGAGTTATCTTTTGATACTTCACTGTGAAAATGAGGATTCAGCTTTTTTTCTCACCTCCAGCTCATTCCCTTCACACACTCTTCTCAGCTTCTTAATGTGGTTAGGTTGTATGGTAACTTTGTAAGATTAAAATTAATTGTGCATGGTATTATTTAAATGACATTCATATCTGAGCTGTAGACGATGCTAGATTGTATTTTCCTATATAACCATTTACTTTCCTTGGTGCTCATAATTGTTTTATCAAAAAAAATGAGGTGTAATTTATATATAATGAAATACATGGATCAGTTTTGACAAATGCATACATGTAATTCACACCCCTATTAGATATAGAACATTTCCTTTATTCTAGGAAGTTCACTTACAGTTTTTCCTAATCAGTCCCTCTTAACTTCAGACATCGTTTAACGTTTTTTTCATTTGTTTGTAATCTATATTGTTATAATTAATTCTTCTGCAAGCTTCTAACTGTCTAATCTCCCAAGACATTCAGGCACGTCAGGTGTGTGTTCATTTCATCTTCGGAGAGATGATAACATAGGAGAAAATGTAGGTGACTTTGAGTATGGTGATGACTTTTTAGATAAAACACTGAAGACGTCATCTGTGATCTTGTAGGACTCAGAGTTTTGTGTCTTACATTTAAGTCTATGATTCATTTTGAGTTAATTTTTATGAAGAGTATACGGTTTGTGTCTAGATTCATTTTTTTCCTTGGGTTACTCCTGGCATTAGCCATTAGGTCTTTTCTCTTGGGCTGGTCTGACTCCCTAGAGGGGTCTCTTAATTCTCCTGCGTAGAGGGTATAAACCTGGCTGCAAGCTCATGAATAGTGAGAAAGAGAAGAGGGCTTGGATTCTCAGCATTCATCATTTAAATGTTTACATGAAACTTCTGATTTTAGTACTTTGCCCCACTGATAACAGTGCTTGGTTTCTGTAGGCTAGGGACACTTTACTCTTTCCAGAGAAAAAATTTTTAAGGTTTCTGCTAGCAGTTAAGGTGGACCACTAAAACATGTTTATAAAACATAAATGCTTTATTAAAAAAACTATTAAAAAAAACAACAGCTATTAATCAGTGCTTTTGCATTTATCACTATGTTATGGAGAAATTATGTATTTATACAACATCTGAAGTGAAGAAAACAGTGAAAATTACTGCTCTATGTCATAGTTGTGTATAGCTACCCTACTAATTCATTCATGTGTTCCTCATGATAGGTGGCTCACAGTTAGTATTCAGTATATTTGTTGAATTCTATTTATTTATATAGTGGACAGTATCTTTTCTAAAAGTTTTCCATTCACTTCATTGCTCTTTTTTTTTTTTTTTTCATTTAAACAGAGACTCTGGACTTTAATAATTCAGATAGAAGTAAATACACAAAATATAACTTATTTTTCTCTCTCACTTCCTTTCTTTTTCAACTTTGCAGATTGGCTAAAAGAGTGCTTTGATAATTCTTTGAACAATGGAACTTTCCTCTTTAAAAAAAAAAAATGTCTGCTCCCTTCTTTAAATTATAGGAAAGTTTCTGGTGATCTGTACTAGGATATATGGAACACCATACTAAATTATTTTCAAGGAATCATACAGTGTGCTAGATTTATTTATTTTATTTTTTTTCAGTGTGGCAGATTTAAACCTATACTATATATTGGCTCTTTTGTGATTTGTGACAATCCTTCATCCTTTTTTTTTTCTTTTTTATTTAGGTAAATGGACAATGTGCTGGTCACACAGCTATGCAAGCTGCTAGTCAGAATGGACATGTTGACATTTTGAAGTTACTTTTGAAGCAAAATGTGGATGTAGAAGCAGAGGTAATTAAACTAAGCTTGAAAAATACTTAAGTAAAAAATTAATGTTCTAGAAATGGTACTTCTATATTATAAAATGATTTGCTTTCATTCCTAAAATTTAATAATCACCTAAGGCTCTTCTGGTTGGAAAGAGATATTTGACAAGAGGTAATTTGAAGCATTTCTTGTTTCTCTTTGATCTCTCAATATTGTAGATATAACCCTAAGTGAAGATAGGAGTTGAGTTTTCCTTTACTATGGTAGGACCACCATGCTACAGGAAGCCCAGATGGGTTCATCCAAGAATCATACTAAAGAAGTTGAGGGAAAGAGAATATATAGATCATGTAGGTCAAGATTTTTACTAATCAGTGACACTCAGAGGGCTTTATTTTAATCTCATAAGGGAATCAGTAAATTAGAATTTGTTTAGTCTTACTATTTCTTGACTATAATGTGGATCTTTGAAAACTTTACAGAGCATGTTTATCACTAGATATGTGCATATATGCTTAATTTAATTGAGAGTATAGTCTTCTAAAAGGGAAATGAATATTTTTTACTGTCATTGGAATTTCAGTTGATAATCTCTATGTGTGTTGTGAAGGGTGTTGTCCTTTGTGATAGTATACTATAACTTCATTATTGAGAAAATACATTAAAATCACATTTGTTACAGTCTGGTGGAAGGTTATTTAGGAATAAGTCAAATCCTAGTAAATTTAGACTAGGCAGAAAGATATAATTTTGTCCAAATGATACTCCCATCTGAGGAAGCTAAATGACTTGAATTTCTGAGGACTAACTTAGTGGACCAGCCTGTTTTTATTAATTAAAAATTTTTAAAGACACATATATGAAAAGAGAAGTCTTACATTATTTTTGCTTTTTTTCTCAGATTGAGTGTATTTTGATTTGTTGGACAGCTACTAAAGAATCAGTGGTATTGTAGTTGTAAATAAATCATTTCTGATGTTGGAATTTTCTATTTTTATTTTTATTTTTATTTTTTTTAAAGATTTTATTTATTTATTTGAGAGAGAGGCAGTGAGAGAGAGCATGAGTGAGGAGAAGGTCAGAGGGAGAAGCGGACTCCCCATGGAGCTGGGAGCCCGATGCGGGACTTGATCCCAGGACTCCAGGATCATGACCTGAGCCGAAGGCAGTCGTCCAACCAACTGAGCCACCCAGGCGTCCCTAAAAAAGCTTGAATTTTAAATTAGCAGGTAGATGTCTATAAGTTTCGTTACTGTGATATCTCTATGAATGAGATTATATGATTTGATTTTGTTTTCACAGTAGTAATTTTTAATTCACATCTTTCTTGGTTATGAATTTAGGAACCCAGTATATGTTACAGGATTTCTTTCAATAGTGAAAGACTTAATTTAAATTTAGTATTTTATAGATGGAAGACACTTAAACTTATTGTGTTACTGTTTCCATCTAGCTTGGGGAAATGGAATGAAATTCCCTGAGTTGAATACCTCATTTTTTAAAAAATGATTTTATTTGTTTGAGAGAGAGAGAGAGCACAAGCAGGGAGGGGCAAAGAGAGAAGGAGAAGCAGGCTCCCTGCTGAGCAGGAAGCCTGATTTGAGGCTCACTCCCAGATCCTGAGATCATAACCTGGGCCAAAGGCAGATGCTTAACCAACTAAGCCACCAGGTGCCCCGAATATCCATTTTTTATTTAGTGAATCCAGCAACTAAAATAGCAAGAACTACTAAAATACCAAAGCCCTTCTGATTATAGCTAATAAGACAAGAGGCCATAAGTAAAATATTTTGCCTTATTTTTTATAAAGTGTGCTTTCTGATTCAGAATTTAATAAAGCAGACAACATGGGACTATAACCATTTGTGTTTCTAAAGACTTCTTATTCACATGACGGGTTGTGCACAATGGAAGTGCAGCTGTGGGGGTGGGAACAAAATTGGCACTGTTTCTTAACTAAATTCAAATACACAACATGGGTAGCTGATTCTATAAACCCGGTAAGATTGGAGTTGGAGTGTGGCGCAGTAAGCTAAGTGTTTGTAAATAATTTCTTTGAGAAAGTTTGAAAATTAGGTCTATGACTAGATCAGTGAGATATATCTGGACTTCAACTGTACACCTCATTTGGATTTCCGTTCTCTGGATTTCTGTTTTAAAAACCCTTGTAGGCAAAGGGGGGTAGGTGAGGGATGGGATATTGGGTAATGGGCAATAAGGAGGACACTTGATATAAAGAGCACTGGGTGTTATAGGCAACTGATAACATCAGTTGCCTATAACTTCAGTGCCCCTGAAACTAATAATACACTGTGTGCTAACTAAATTGAATTTAAGTAAAAAATTTAAAAAAATAAATAAAAAATAAAAACCATTGTAGGCAGATAAAATTTACAGAAATAGTGTGAGAAAGGGATACTTATACCTCAGGTTAAATTAATAACACAGATTCCCAATTGGCAAAGAAAAAACTACATTTAAAAATTAGGTTAAAATATAAATATAATTTCTAGCCTAAGACTAAAAAAAATCATCAAAGTATCATTTTTCTAGAATTTAAGAATCTATTAGAAACAGCAGTATAGTTTTTTTAGAACAGTGGTTCTCAACTGAGGGCATTTTTGTTCCATGGGGGACATTTGGAAATGTCTGGGAACAGTTTTGATTGTCACAACTGGTGGTGGGGGTGTGGTGGTGGGAGTACTACTGGCATCTTGGTGGTTGAAATGAGGAATGCTACTAAACATCCCATGGTGCACAGTACAGCTCTCACAACAAAGAACTATCTGGCCCCAAATGTAAATATTGCCAAATTTGAGAAATCCTGGTTTAAAAGACAGAGAAAACAGTTAATTTTACAAATACACTTAAATTTGTGACTCATCATTTGCCAGCCTTTTTAAAAAGTAATTTGTCATTATTAATTTTTTTATTATTGAAAATTTATATTTATAAAAGTAGAATAGTATAATGAATCCTGTGTTCCCATCACACCACTTCAGTTATTTTTCATGGCCAATTTTGACTTAACCTGTACCATTCTCCCTTTCTACTGAAGCAGATCCAGATACATTAATTTATCTGTAAATATTATGGTATGTATCTCAAAAGAGAAGTTCTCTTTTTCTTAAACTTCATTATATCTTTACCAAACATAAAAACAATAATAATTAAAAGTGGGGGCGCCTGGATGGCTCAGTGGGTTAAAGCCTCTGCCTTCGGCTCAGGTCATGATCCCAGAGTCCTGGGATCGAGCCCCGCATCGGGCTCTCTACTCCGCGGGGAGCCTGCTTCCTCCTCCCTCTCTGTCTGCCTCTCTGCCTACTTGTGATCTCTGTCTGTCAAATAAATAAATAAAATCTTTAAAAAAATAATAATAATTAAAAGGGATTTTAAAAAATTGTATTAAAAGTTTTGAGGTTAGCTGAAGAATAAAGATAATAATATATTTTGTTCTCTAGTTATCATTCTGTAACGTTTCATTTTTTTCATCTGCATTAGGAGGTGAGCTCAAGATAGTATAGATTAGGGGTTGCAAACTCTAGCCTGCAGGCCAAATCCAGCCCTCCATCTATATTAGTAAATCTTATTGGAATATAGCATATCCATTCATTTATTTATTGTGTATGGCCACTTTCATGTTACAACTACAGAGTTGAATAGTTCAGACAGGAGCCTGGGTGGCTTGGAAATCTGAAATACTTACTTCCTGGTCCTTCACAGAAAAATTTACTGGTCTCTACTATAGATGACTCTTGCAGTTCTTTTGTCAGTTGATTTCAGCTGTTATTAAACTAAATTAGTTGGTATATATTATACCTTTCTAATATGTGATATCAGATTACATTTTTTTCCTATTTCTTCTTCTTAGGGAAAACTCAGCTATTTTGGAAAGTTTTCCCCATCTATGACGTACTGAGTACAGTAGAATTACATTCTGTTTCCTCCTTAATGTATAGGTAAAGGCACCAAGGACTGTGTGATCTTAGGTGTGTTTTTATAAGTGGGCTAATTTTGGATCCGTTAGGGACTTGGTATTTTTTTTCCCCTACTGATGAATTATAAGAAGATAGGTGTGTTTGATTGAATGAAAGACCAGTTTAAAAAAGTATGTCATTTACATTAAGTTTTCAAATACAGTACACATATATACAGCAGTTGTCTGGAAATTTGGAGTGGTTTTATCATTTAAGGTTGATGAAAGCTGTTCTGAAGGAGAGGACTAAGTAGAGAACAAAACAGTTTTGTCAGAAAACCCACATTTTAGTGATATTGTTGCTGTCTAAAGTGATACTGGGCAAAACTTTTAATTGGTATAAACTTCAGTTTCCTTATATATGATAATAATTTAAAGTGTTGGGGTGTGGAGTAAGGGCAATAAAATACTATCTATAGTATACAACGGCAACAAAGGAATCTGGTGTTATTATTACCTTTGTTTGATTGTTTCTTTCCAACTGGCAGAAGGCAGAGAATATATATATATTTTTTTAAGATTTTATTTACTTATTTGACAGACAGAGATCACAAGTAGGCAGAGAGGCAGGCAGAAAGAGAGAGGAAGAGGAGCAGGCCTCCTGCTGAGCAGAGAGCCCGATGCGGGGCTTGATCCCAGGACCCTGGGATCATGACCTGAGCCAAAAGCAGAGGCTTTAACCCATTGAACCACCCAGGCGCCCCTAACATTTACACTTCATTTACTTACTTTGTTTATAATGTTCTGTCTCCCCTACTAGAACGTAAACTCTATGAGGGTAGGAACTTTTTTTTTTTTTTTTTTTAAAGATTTTTTTTTAAATTTATTTATTTGAGAGAGAATGAGTGAGAGAGAGCATGAGAGAGGAGGAGGTCAGAGGGAGAAGCAGACTCCCCAAGGAGCTGGGAGCCCGATGCGGGACTCGATCCCGGAAGTCCGGGGTCTTGACCTGAGCCAAAGGCAGTCGCTCAACCAACTGAGCCACCCAGGCGCCTGAGGGTAGGAACTTTATTTTGCCCATTGCTGTATCCTTAGTGTCCAGAACAAT